TGCAGAGATGCCCCCACCTAGCACAGCCAGCTGACCTGGATTCTTTCCAGATCACACAGAGTTCGAACACGGATACCGAATATTCATAAGAACATAAGAGAAGCCAATGCTGGATCAGGCCAATGGCCCATCTAGTCCAACACTCTGGGTCACACAGTGGCCAAAAATACCAGGGGCCATCAGGAGGTCCACTGGTGGGGACAGGACACTAGAAGCCCTCCCACTGTTGCTCCACCCCCCAAGCACCAAGAATACAGAGCATCCCTTGCCCCAGACCGAGAGTTCCTATCTGTATCTTGTGGCTAATAGCCACTGATGGACCTCTGCTCCGTATGCTTATCTAACTCCCTCTTGAAGCTGTCCATGCTTGTAGCCGCCACCACCTCCTGTGGCAGTGAATTCCATGTGTTAATCAACCTTTGGGTGAAGAAGTACTTCCTTTTATCTGTTCTAACCGATCGCTCAGCAATTTCATTGAGTGCCCGCGAGTTCTCGTATTGTGAGAAAGGGAGAAAAGTACCTCTTTCTCTACCTGCTCTATCCCATGTATAATTTTATAAGCCTCGATTATGTCACCCCTCAGCCGTCGTTTCTCCAAGCTAAAGAGCCCCAAGCGCTTTAACATTTCTTCATAGGGAAAGTGTTCCAACCCTTTTATCATTCTAGCTGCCCTTTTCTGCACTTTTTCCAATGCTATAATATCCTTTTTGAGGTGTGGTGACCAGAACTGTACACAGTACTCCAAATGAGGTCACACCATTGATTTATATGGGGCATTATGATACTGGCTGATTTGTTTTCAATTCCCTTCCTAATAATCCCCAGCATAGCGTTGGCCTTTTTTATTGCAGTTGCACACTGCCTTGAGATTTTCATTGAGTTATCTACTACGACTCCAAGATCTCTCTCTCGGTCAGTCTCTGCCAGTTCAGGGCCAGCCCCAAATGAACTGCATTTTGTCCATTGAAATTATTGCCCTTAACACACCCCAGAATGGATTAACGGGCCAAGACTTGTTAAGATAATATCAAAATATCTCAGAGAGGGGAATGGTGGCTACTGGGGCTAATACAACACCATCACATATTGAGTGGCATCATTCTGACATAAGATAGGTGGACTGCCTGCCTTCTGTGAAAGAGAGTCGCTTAAGCTGGAAAAGGCTTTGGGCTTTGCTAAGGAGAGTGGTAGGATGCAGGCCAAGAAATTAAAATCAATAAATAACCTGTATTATTGTAAAAAACAATAAATCACCTGTATTATAAACAAACATGATACAAAAGCAGCAGCAGTAAAATTAAACATGCCAACAGCAGAAGATATCAAAAATTAGATATCAAATTAAAATTCTGCAAACTGCTCAAAGATATTAATCTGTACAATTCAGAGATAGAAAGGCCTACAGGGACAAAAATGAAAATATAGGTGGAAATAATAGTTTTTAAAAATCCTGCTGTTTTTCATTCTATTTTTTTTTTAAATAGAAACATTTGTTGACTACAATGTTGATAGTTTCTATTTTAAGCCTTGCTTTATTCCTTACTTTCCCACACAGAATAAACTAAGATATTTTGAGGGAGCTCCCGCTACCTTCTCCAAGACTGGGCATACTTCTCAGTCTCGGTTGACTAAAATGGAGGCATTTACGCTTTTAAAGCTTTATAAATGTGCCGAACAGCCCAACTGTAGGAATATACTAAATGAATCACCATTTTACGTTCTTAAAAGCAGTAAAACAAGCTTAGATTTGATAAGAAAACAAGTATTGCATGTATTTCCCCAAATTTTCATTTTATTCTGTTGGGGGGGGGGGGAATCCAATATTCGCTGTCCTCTTCAAAATTTCCTGAAAGTGTGTGTATGTGTGTAAAGTGTTGTCAAATCACAGCTGATTTATGGTGACTGCATAGGGTGTTCAAGGCAAGTGGTTAAGCGAAGGTGGTTTGCCGTTGCCTTCCTCTGCAAAGTCCTCCTTGGTGGCCTCCCATCTGAGTACTGACCCTGCCTAGCTTCCGAGATCTCCCAAGAACAATCTACACTATACCAATCCTACAGGGCTCTTTCTGTAGCAGGAACTCCTCTGCATATTAGGCGACAAACCCCTAGTGTAGCCAATCGTCCAAGTGCTTACAGAGCTCTTCTTACAGGGGCTACTGTAAGCGCTTGGAGGATTGGCTACATTAGGGGGTGTGTCACGTAATATGCAAACGAGTTCCTGCTACAACAGTGGTTCTCAACCTTCCTAATGCCGCAACCCTATAATACCGTTCCTCATGTTGTGGTGACCCCCAACCAATGTTCCCTCTAAGCTGTGGAGTCTTGTGAGCAAAAATTCTACTTTGTGAGCTACTGGCATTAAAGTTGTGAGCAAGCAATTTGGCTACTACATAAATTAGTTTGCTCTGGAGCCCTCCTTCCTGAGCGAAGACAAAAATGTGTGAGCTGGAGGCTCAAAAACTGTGAGCTGGCTCACACTCACTCAGCTTAGAGGGAACACTGCCCCCAACCATAACATTATTTTCGTTGCCATCATAAGACCATTGAAAAGTTGTGTTTTCCTATGGTCTTAGGTGACCCCTGTGAAAGGGTCGTGCGACCCCCAAAGCGGTCGCGACCCACAGATTGAGAACCGCTGTGCTACAAAAAGAGCCCTGTTTAAAGTCGATCCACATTTCCATAGCAACAAGCCAGCTTCTGACAAAGAGGATTCTTCCTTCTCTCCCAACACTGCAACTTTCCCTAGCTTTTAAAATTTTGCACACAGCATCGATCTAATCATTTTACCAACAGGCCAATACCGACTCTGTCTTGTACTTAGGAGGACTTTTACTGCTATACACCCAGGGTTTCATCTGCACTGGAGGTGGTATTCCCCTAAGGCAGTTTGATGATCCTGAGTCGAGGGCCGGTTCAGTCTCTCTCAGCCAGTGATCCTCTTTGTGTGATGAAGGAGCATCAAATAGGCAAACAGCCAGCTCGCCAGGTCTGTATGCAGAGAATCCCAATATTTACTTATTCTTTCCAATTACATACCTCTGCTCAATCATTTAGTCCCAAAAGCTAACAGTGTTCTTCATTCTACAACTCTGCTCAGTTTGAACTGCTCTTCCAGCCTAAAAATCCTTCATTGTCTCTATGAGTCATTTACACTGGAGGAAGGCTCCAATCTAAGTAGGTTTGCCAGTTCTGGGTTAGGAAATATCTGGCGATTTTGGGGGTGGAGCCAGAGGAGGGTGGGGTTTGGGGGACGGGAGGGGAGAGACCTCATAATGCCATAGACTCCACCCTCCAAAGCAGCCATTTTCTCCAGGGTTCCCTGGAGATCAACTGTAATATCAGGAGGTCTCCATGCCTCCACCTGGAGCATGACACCCCTAAAAGCCCAAGGATCTCTTGGATTTGCTTAAGCTGGAAAAGGCTTTGAGCTTTGCTAAGCAGAGTGGTAGGACGCAGGCTGAGAAGTTAAAATCCGAACAACAAATCACCCGTATTATTAAAAAAACACGATGCAAAAGCAGCAGCAGCAAAATTAAATATGCCAACAGAAGAAGATATCAAAAAGAAGAATTTTTAAACTGCCCGTCTAAGACAGCCAAGGATACGGAGGGTTTCCTGAGAGAGGGGATTCCACAGGATGGGAGCTACCAACGAGAAGGCCGTTTCGTGCGGAGGACAGTCTGGACTCCCTGGGTGGTGATGCCAGCAATGTAACTGCATTGCTTGATTTCAGTTCTCCAGGTAGAATGGGTGTGGTGCGGTTAGAGTTTCGGACTAGGATCTGCGAGAGCCAGGTTCAGATGCCCACCCTGCCAAGGAAGCTGGCTGGGTGGCCATGCAGCCAGTGACACACACTCAGTCTGGCCTACCTCAAAGGGTTGTTGTGAGGATAGAACGGAGGAGAGAACAATGTAAGCTGCTTTGGGTCTCCGTTGGGGAGAACGGCGAGGCATAAAAGAAGTAAATCAGTAATGAATAGTAAGGGAGGAGGAATGGTCCCTGTTAGGAAATGTATCCCTTAAAAATCGTACCCTTCACAAATTCTGAGCTACTCGGGAGACAGGCGTTCTCTTATCCACCCTATAAATCAAATCACTGGCTGGATAAGTTACTTGAAGACTCCCTATGACTTTCACCACCTCGGAAATGGCCGAGTCAATAACGTTACCTTGCTGGGCATATAATACTCTACCACAAGAGAGCCAGTCTGGTATAGTGGCTAAGAGCGGCGAACTCTAATCTGGGAGAACTGGGTTCGATTCCCTACTCCTTCACAGGAAGCCAGCTGGGTGACCTTGGGTCAGTCACAGTTCTCTCAGCCTCCCCCCCCCAAAAAAACAACACACAAACCTAGCTCATCACAACCTAGCTGGAATTTCAGGTTGCCAGACAATCTTCGGATCTCCTGGCTATACTACACCCACTGCCATATGACAATTATAATTATTACTCCACCACAATAAACTCCGCCCACTTTCCCAGAGATTTTCTGAACATCCACGTATTCGGGAACGTAGCCATTATTTTCCTGAACACAAACTAAGACTCTGATTATTTTCTTTTAAAGTAATCCAGTAGGTTTATAGTATTCTTTTGAAGTGTGTAGGACTTTAAATTGTAGCACAGTTCAAAATCTGTTCTGTCTAGAAAACAACAGCTAGCCACATCACCACAGCGGCACAGGTTAATTTTAATGCACAGATCAACTTTAGCAAAATAGGTACCAGTGCTACAACTCGTTTGGAGAAAAGGAGGAGAAACTGAAAATCATATTCCAACTGCAAGTTACAGCGTATGCACACACAAACATGGTCACACACATCCCTAGCTTGTTATAGAGACTGAATGATCAGCTACTAAAGGTACTGCTACTAACAGACACAGTGGTCTGGGAACGCTATGGATGCAGATGTAGGGCAACGTATCTAGAGAACCACCACATGACCCGGTGTTTCCATTAGGCACTGGCCGCTTTGACATAACCCTGAGAACTCGATACTTACTCTTGAACGGCTCTGGCTATAGACAGGGCGGTGGATCCAGTTTCATTAACGCTATCCAAGGTCACATTTGGCAGGTCATCATCATCACTGTCGCTTTTAATTTGCCTGGGAGACAGGCCACGTGGGTCCATTTGTGCTGAGTGAGGAATAAAAAGATACACAATGGATTAAAATTCACAAAGTGAAACTGATACTGCTCAGGAAGAACACACAAGGTGTACACCTCCAGCTCCTTCTACTACATGGATATTCTTACCACACTGAGAATAGCAGGCATATTGGTTTGGCGATTTCCAGTTACCCTTGGCCATTTCACACGCAAACAATAACAGAAGATGACTGAGAATTAGTACGTATATGTTACTCTGCTGATATTAACGAGGAACAGGGCTGCTGTTTCATTCTAAAGATATTTCCTTGGAAGTCAATCCCATTTGGTTCACTGAGTCTGATTTCCTATTGAGGCTGAAACTAGACTTTATGGAGAGTGCATGTTACAGAGATCACAAGAAACAGGCTACGCTTCTCTTCCTCTGTTCATCATATGTGGCAAATTAAAAAGGCATGACATAATTGCATTGTAGCCTGCTCTTCCACTTCAATGTTTGCCATCTGTGGGGACTGGGAACTTCACTATGACACTTTTATACCATGTACTTGGTTACTAGCCATTACCATGAGAGAGAGAGGAGACCTAGGGGTCACTAATCTCTGTTATAATCAAAGCTACTGCGGTCTACTAGTGTTGGACTATGAATGGGGAGACCTGGGTCCGGATCCCTTGTCAAGGTCTCTGTCACACTGTGTGTCAAGACTAGGGAGAGAAGAAGAAGAAGAGATGTCTCAGAGTGTCTTACAAACTCCTTTCCCTTCCCCTCCCCACAACAGACACCCTGTGAGGTAGGTGGGGCTGAGAGAGCTCTTGACAGAAACTGTTCTTTTTCAAGGACAGCTCTTATCAGAACTATGGCTTGCCCAAGGTTATCCAGCCAGGTGCAAGTGGAGGAGTGCAGAATCAAACCTGGTTCTTCCAGATTAGAGTCTGCGCACTTAACCACTACACCAAACTGGCTCTCTAGGGATGGGCATGAACCAAATTACGAACTGAATTTTGTGATGAACCATGCTGGTTTGTGTGATCGCAAACCCCGATTTGCAAAATCGCACTGTTCACAAACCGACCACGAACTACCATGGTTTTTGTGGCAGTTTGTTCGGTTCATAAGAGAGCTCATGGGCCAGACATGCTGGCGCCAAAGGCAATGGTCGAGAATGCTTTAAAGATGTGCTGCAGCAGCGTGACTTGCCAGTGAGCTTGGAAGGCCTTAAAATGCCTTCTGAGCTCACTGGTGAGTTGTGCCACCACAGCGACACAACGTGAGTCAGCTCAAGGGCATTCTTCTGAGTTCACTTGCAGTAGCTGCTGCAGCAGCTTCCATGGGGGGAGCAAAAGGCGTTGCTGAACTGGCTTGTATCTAATAGATGTAAGCCAGCTCAGTGATGCCTTTGCTCTTCCCTCTCCCGTGTGGAAGCTACACAAACTTCGTGAACCCGAATTGGTTCAGTAAATGGAAAAGCTTGTGGAGGTTCACGAACCATGGTTCATGAGAACCCATGAACCATCACAAACCTGCATTTTTCTGATTTGTGCCCATCCCTAGTCAAGACCAGTCACTTTTGGGGGGGGCCTTTACTGTTGCTGCCACCACTTTGGGTAAAATCCAGCCCCTCTCTCTCACATGGGTTGCCCAGTCAGCCTTACATGGGTGTTGCTCAGTAGCATGCCAAGTGGCCAGGCGGGTGGGTAAGGCCTTGTGCAGACTCTTTCAAGTTAAGCAAATGGTATTGCAAAGGACAGATCTGAGCAGAGGTCCTTTCGGGGGGGATCGCGGGGGATCACAGTTCCCCCGGGTGAGGTACGGGGGCGGGGCACATGACAAAGCCCCGCCCCCCGCTTCCGGCCCTCATTCAGCCAGGAGGAGGCAGGAGAAGAGGGAGGGTAAGTTGCCTCCTCATGCAAGGCCGGCGGCGGCGGCCGGGACCGTTGGGGCGGGGTGTGTGGCCTTATGACACACTTCAGGTGATGTCAGGGGGTGTGGCCTTAGGACACACTTCCGGTGATGTCAGGGGGTGTGGCATATGCTAATGAGTTATGCTAATGAGTCCCCCTAGCTCTTTTTCTATGAAATGACCCCTGGATCTGAGGTACACTGAGTAAAATAAACACAAAGACAGTTGATAACTAAAGTACTTACAATCCATATTACATCCCATATCTGGCAGTTGCAGGATGCCCCCAACCCTGGTGCATCCAGAACCCTCTTTGGCATCATTCTCCTCTGTCATCCTTCATGACAAAACACACACTCAAAGGCATTCAACCACAGACCCAATAATTTCTTCCAAGAGTCTCTCCCCCTCAAACAAAGAAACAGTTCTCCTTTTCAGACCTCACCCTACATGTGCTGTGGGGCCTTCAGTCAATCTGGGTGCCAAGCCTTGGGGCTCAAGCCCACCGAACCTGGACCGTCCAATTACGAGGTGTTAACACATCAGAAGGCTGGTGTGTTGTCCCTCTCAGTTGGAAAGGATCCTCTGTCCGGCATAGAGCACCATCTCCCCTTCTTCCCAGCCACAGTGTCACTTGGGCTCCCTTCTATCACTGTAGCCACCAAGGCATCTCTTGCCCCCTGCCCATCGTCTCATCACATGCCCACTCCATTATGGAGCTCACCTGGTGGCTATGGGCCAGTCACTCTCTCTCTCAGTCTAACCTACCTGACATTGTCCTTTGGAGGACAAAATGGAGAATTGTGAACACCATCCTGAACTCCTTGGAGGAGAGGTAAATTAAGAGTTTCTACTTAAGGAGGCTTAGAATTGCAGGCAGTAACTCCATCTGCAGCAGTTATCATCTGTGCAAAACATGGTAAGAGAGCCAGTTTGGTGTAGTGGTTACGTGTGCAGTCTCTAATCTGGGAGAACCGGGTTTGATTCCCCACTCCTCCACTTGCACCTGCTGATGTGACCTTGGGTCAGTCACAAGCAGTGACACACCTGTCCTTGAAAAAGAGCAGTTTGTGTCAGAGTTCTCTCAGCCCCCACCCACCTCACAGGGTGTCTGTTGTGGGGAGGGGAAGGGAAAGGAGTTTGTAAGCCGCTCTGAGACTCCAAGTGAAGGGCGGGGTATTAATCCAATCTCTTCTCCTCTTCTCTTCTTCTCTTCTAAGATAGGGTTGGCTTTCCCCTTCCCACGGCAGACCCTCTTTATGTTGTCCCTTGAGGTCCCCTAACCCCCAGGAGCAGCAATTCATGGAAATTAGTGGGCTACCGTGGGAGAAGGGGAATGCTGGACAGCTCCATTTGACCTTTGGAAAATTTAGTCTGGATCCAACCCATAAACAGTGAAAGATGCATATCTGAGACCAGCAATATGATCTCTGTAGTTTTCAAAGAATGTTAAGAATCAAAATAACAAATGGCTTAATGCTAGATGTCCATAATTACTCAGGTTTCATAAATTGATGGAACGGATAATAGGACCTTAATGATTTTTTAAACGGAACTGTTGCCCTGCGATTAAAACAAACAACAAAAAACTGGACTAATATGTGCAGTACAAATAATGTACTTTTCAAAAGCATGAACTGTGGTCTGTCCTAGAAGAACTTAAACCAGATAACCCAAGAGAGGTACAATTATTTGGTGGGAGAAGGTTCCACTGTTGAAAAAGCAGTGGGAAGACACTCATCATCAATCATTATTATAATATTAAAATCTCTCCCTCTGGGTTGTCAAGTCGCGTTATTTTACCAAGACGCTTGAAATGTTTGTTCTTCTCCTTAAAGCTCCGAGTTTAGCAACCAGAGAACATTAGTCAGAGTAAAGGCTTTTTTTAGCCCTGACTTTCAGAGAATAGCTAGAATTTTCACCCCAGAAAAGGCAAACCTTTGATCTTAACAGATATGGTATCTATTCAAATACAAGACTAAGTTTCCCCCCCAAGTATGCCTTCAAAAAAAGTGGGGAAAAGAGGGGGCTGCCTTACATTTGCATACAAGTTACAGCTATGTTTGTCAGTAATTTTTTGTGTGTGTATAGGGGCGGTTGTCTTACATTCAGGGTTGTCTTCATTTCGAGTAAATACTTTAGGATCTCCAGTCATTTTGTAGATACACTTAGTCCTTAATGCCAATTGCCAAGCAAACCTCAATCACAAATAGCATTTTTTTTTGGCAGAAGGACATGCGCTATGGCTTGACAGAGTTGATTAATACAAAGCAAGGGGCCATCCATTCTCGATACCCTGTTAGCAAATTAAAGGGGAAGGGCATCCTTCACCATTAAAACCTATTTGCAAACGATACTCCATCAACCTCTTCGCGTAGCTGAGACTTGAAAATGGCAGCTATATTATCTTGCCCTTTTTCTGAATTATGCAACTAATTACACAGTAAGTTTGCTAATGCCGCAAGACTATCATTTCTTAGTCATGAATGCTGAACGTTAACATCCTTTCATGGGCAGACGGAAAGATACCCTTAAACACCAGTGATGGTAGGTGGGGATGACAGTGTGATGTTTTAATGTTGGGAAACTAGGCCATAACATCCAAGCTGAATCCAGCTCACCAGAGACTCGGTAGCCGTGCAGTTCTATGCAAAAGAGCTCCAGTCTGATTTCAGTGGGCTTAGAGTAATTCTGCACAGGACTGCACTCAAAAAATCTTATTTTTACTGCCTTCCATATGATCCCAAGGAGGAGGAAAGTGTCAAGTGATTGGCAAGCTACCCTACTTAGCTAAGGGCTGGTGTTTGGTTTGAGCAGGCCTGCCCCAAACTCAACCTCCAGTACAAGGATGACCACTGGGAACCTCAGGGCCACATCTTACATCAGGGTCCCCAACCTTTTTGCGCCTGTGGGCACTTTGAAATTTTGAAAGAGGGTGGTGAGCGCCACCCCAAAATGGCTGCCACAGGAGGCGGACCCAAATCCAAAATGGCTGCTGCAGGACATAGAGCCAGATGCAATGCCTCCCTCCTCACTTTCTAAAAGAATGGCATGACAACCACGCTGAACATATGAAGCTGCCTTATTCAGAGTACAGTCCAAGAAAAAAACAATTGCAGACAAAAT